ATAAGCTGAGTTGGAAGGGACACTCAAAGATCATTGAGTCAAACCCCTGGCCCTACATAGGACAGTCCCCAAGAGTCACCCCATGTTCCTGAGAGCATTCTCCAAATGCTTCTCCTTCTCTAATTGTCTCAAGCTTGGTTCTTCCCTGGGGAGCCTGTTCCAGTGCCCAGTCACCCTCTGGGGTGAAGAACCTTTTTCTAATATCCAAACTTACACAACTTCAGGCCATTCCATTTGGTTCTCTTGCTGGTGACCACAGAGAAGAGTTCATTTACCACAAGGTTGCTTCTTACTTCTGTTTACTTGTTGTAAACAGAACAGCAGTCAGTCTTTCTCAAAATTTCTCTGAAACACTCTCTTCTAAGACTAAAAAGCAAAGAAAATAACTTACTGTGTGTACTAGCTAAATAATGCCCTTTTATCAAAATCAGCTTTTTAGTAGATACAGAGTTCAAAACTTCCATCAAAACCTCTTCCGCAAAAGTATACACCAGACAACTCAGGTTGCTTAAAGCCCTACCCAGCCAGACCTTGAACACTTCAGGAACAGGGCATCAGCCCTGTCATAGCAAATAATTTCTTGCTAACATCTAATTCAAATGGCTCTTTTTAGTTTAAAGTTGTCCCCTATTGTCCTATTGCTATCAGTCCATATTAAATAATTGTGCTATTCCATTGGGACAGTGCTTTCCTATAGGAAAATGCTGTGCATTTTACTGTCCTGTATGGCAATTCCCTCTGCCCAGTTAAGTGTGAGAAGTAACTAGTTTCCCATCTGAACCCGTCCCTGCACATTCAGGTTATTCAGAATTGATCTACACAGCGTATGACAAGAAGAGTGAGGCAGCTGTCCTCACATACATGCCAAGTCCCCAGTTCCCAGACCTAGGAAAGGCAATACCTTCTGTGCAAGCAGTCCTTCTGAACAGATGTGCATCCTGGAGTTCCTTGAGTTTTCTTACACAAGGAGTAATAAAACCTTATCTCATCTTCATTCCCTTGAACTCTGCCACAGAAACACCATGTCATTGGCTTCAGGAAGTTACTTGCTGCAGTTTCTAAATTTATAAGAAATGCTGCATCAAAGAACACAATAAGGGACATCAGTTTGGAGGGGTTTTCTTTGGTATGTTTGGGGTTATTCTGGTAAGTTGGTTGGTTGACTGGAGTTTTTTGGTTATATATATATATGTATAAATGAAATGCTGATTTCCCTTATGGATTGATTTGGAGACTACCTCAAGAGGTTCTAGCTAGTGAGTTCTTGCTTTGATTTTTTTTTTGCTCTGTAGCAGGTTAAGTATAGACCAAGGGATTTGATAAGGAAGATAATGAAATTCAGTAGAGGTCTGTCAACCTGAACTAAAAACTGTATTGTTTAATACTCCCTCTTTAAAAGTAGAAAAGATTTGATTTTTTCTTTAATTGAACCTTCTAAATTGAAATATGCACTGATGGCTTAAACAGTTTCAGTAATAAAATCATCAGTCTCAATAAATGTAATTGCTGTTAACTCTGTGAATTTTATAGGAGCATCAGTTTTATGTATTTGTATAAATATTTTTACATACTTTTTGATGTATAAAATTTGAAAGTAATTTCTTTAGTGTTCTAAAAACACCTGAAGTAATTTGTTTTTTTTATAACGTGTCTAAGAGCATATCCAAGCAATGATGTTTTACATACAAATACATCATGTTATATATGACTGTGTCAGAGGCAAAGCACTGTCAGGAGATCTAGACTAGCTGATTGATAGCAAAATAAAACAAAGACTTTTGTGCCAGATCGGCATTTCATGGGTTTAAGGTGACTTTTTTTCCCCCTTTCTTTTTAATTAAAACTATGAGACAAAAGAACAATGTACCCAAATTGATTGGGATTTCATTGGACACAGAATAGATATGAAAAAATCTGGTTTTGCAAAAGAAA